CCCCAAAACCCCAAAACCCCAGCATTAGTATATACGAACGTATTCTTATTAGATAAAAGAAAAACTTAATTAAATATTAAAAGACTTAAGGTATAAACTTTCAGACAACCAACCATATAAGCGCAGAATTATCAATGGAACCAAAAAACGTTTTAAAAAATCTATAAGCAAACAATAATTTCGAAGTATTAGTAATTGGAGCTGGAGCAGCTGGCTTAGGTGCAGCTAAATACCTTAAAAAAGCTGGAATTAAAGCTAAAATTTTAGAGGCAAGAGATAGAATAGGTGGCAGAGTGCATGCAGTTCCGTTTGGATCAGATAGTAAGTTAATAGACCTAGGTGGTCAGTGGATACACGGACTGGGTCCAAGTGCAGGGGATTTGAAAGACTGGCAAGGGAAGTTGAATCCAATCTACCAGATAGCTGTTGATAACAATATTTAGACTGTGAAGGCTTGGCATTTATAGTCAAGAATTCAGAAAAACTTCTGGTACAAAGGGGGTGAAATACCTCATGATATTTGGGGTATACTTGAGCAAGTAGAGGACTACCTAGAAGAGCATAATGAAGAAGCTGATGAAAGTGAAACAATAGATCAGTTCGTTAAAAGAAAGTTCAATTATGAGAAAGGTTCAGAGGAGGAGATGATTTTGGATTGGATTTTAATTTACCGATTCGGCTAAGATTACGGAGCCAATCCCAAAAATTAATCAGCAAGGTATCAGGAAGAAGATATCATCTTTGACGGCACAGAGGACCTGATTCCTGAGTCAATGTTAAGTATCTTAAATATTGTCGCTGAGGGTTTAGACATTATGTTTAACTAGCAAGTGACTGAGATTAACTATGAGAGAGACTAAGTCGTTGTTAAAACAAAGGAAGGAATTGAGTACTTTGCTTAAAAAGTGATAGTGTGTGTACCCTTGTCCATATTAAAGGCAAAGGATATATAGTTTAAACCAGTACTACCTGAAGAAAAGTAAAATTCTATATAGTCAATGGGTGTTGCTCAGATGGATAAACTTATATTAGAATTTGATAAGGTGTTCTGGGATGAAGAGACTGATTGGTTTAACTATATTGCTGAGAGAAACGGGGATTGGTGCTAGACTTTAAACATTTATAAGTATTTCTAGAGGCCCATACTTATGATGTTTAATGCTGAGCCAAACACGCACAATTTTGAAGACATGACTGATGAAGAGGTCCTAGCCTCGGGCATGAAAGTTATCAGAGATATGTTCCCCAATGCTACTGAGCCGATTAATTATCTTAGAACAAACTGGAATAAGGAAGAATTCTCAAAGGGTACATTCTCATATATAGCAGCTAATTCCAAGCCTGAATATTGTGAGGTGATAACAAGGAATATTGACAGCAAGATATGGTTTGCAGGTGAGTACGGCTATTTCGATTTTATTGGCACTGTAAATGCTGCCTTAATCTCTGGGGAGAACTCAGCCAAGGAGATAGTTATCCAATACAACAAGAAGACAGAGGAAATTTGTCAGCACTTCTATGAAAATGATATGTTTTTATGAAAGTTATATTGCCATGATCATATTGATAATGATCTTGTAAATATTGCTAAAATTACCACACAGCATCTACTATTAGATATATCTTTAGTTTGCTATTTGTGGTATTAATTAAATGCAAGGTTAATTGTTAATTTCTTAATTTAATATTCTGACCACCTAATCCGATCATATACCATTTATCCGGGGTTTTGGGGTTTTGGGG